CACCAGCACCGCTGGCACCGGCACCGGCACTGGCCCCAAGACGGCCCACACAGAGAAGGATCCAAGACAACCCAAGGGGGCTCCAAGATGGCCAGGGAGGGACCCAAAAGGACACCAACTCGGCCCAAGGAGGTTCTCAGACGGCCCTGAAGGCTTCCAGAGAGCCTCAAGACGACCCAGAAAACCCACCAAGACGGACTCCGAAAACGCCAGACGGCCGCGCCAGGGGGCCCCAAGGAGCTTCCGAAGTTCCCCCCCGCGGGACGCTGCCAAGACGCCACGGAGTCCCCAAGGCCCGAGGTGTCACGCGTGACGGCCTCCCGTGTCCCCTCGCACACTCGCAATCAAGAGTGCTAGGGTGACACGGTGGCGGGACTTGCCGCAAGCACCTCCTCCTCCTCCCCTTCCTCCTCCTCCTCCTCCTCCTCCTCCTCCTCCTCCTCCTCCTCCTCCTCCTCCTCCTCCTCCTCCAACTCATCGTCATCACCTTCCTCGTCGTCGTTTTCCTCCTCGAAATCTACGCGCCTATGAGCGGGCGAGTCGGGACAGGCGGGCGGACCCTAAAGGACGGTCGGGCGAATCGGGCGGGCTGATTTTAACGGGCGGATCGGGCGGGGCCCTAAAGTGGGGGGGGCATCATTGACTGGCGGGCGGGGCCCTAAAGTGGGCGGGGCCCTACAGCGCGGGAGGCATCATCGACGGGCGGCGGGGGGCGCTCCCCAGGGGAAGGGCATTATTTAATCATAGAAGTGCCTGGGTGGACTAGTTCAAACATGATTTATGCGCGACATATGCCAAAGCACGCGTTGCAAAACGTGCGCAGCATGCACGTAATTCTGCAGATCTGAAGCTAAATGCTACTCAGGTGTGGGCAGGCTGGACAGATCCAGCCCTGGAGTCTCCAACTCCGCCTGATCTAGCGCGCTCGAACTCGAGCTCTAGTGCTCCTGCTTAAAATACGTATGAGCGGGCGCATGCGGGCAAAGCAAAACTGATCTTATAGAGGTTTTCCGACTCATCCTACTAAGCCTGATGAGGCTCGACGCTCCATCCCCCCTCTGCTTGGCCCCTCCGCCTGTCCCCAACCCCCCCGCCTAATGCAAGCCGCCAGGCGGCGTGCTCGGAGCTGGCGGGCGCAAGCCCTGCGAAGCGCCCATCGCGACCGGCTCCGCGGCGCCAGAAGCACTGGGCGTCAGGGGCAGCGCCGGCGTCACTCGCCCGGGCGCCGCGCGAAGGCGGGGGCTGCGCGGGGGGGCCGGCCGCGCGGCTCGGCGTCGCGTCAGCGAGCTGCGGGCGCCCCTCGTGGAACTGGGCGCGCTTCTGTGACAGCTGCCTCAGTGACACGCGGCAGCAGCGCATGAGCTCGTTGTGGAAGAGCGTCCTCCCAAGTTCTGAGTCGGGCCAGCCCTTGAGAAACACCTTGCCGTTCTGCTCCTGGCACTCCCCCAGGCGCGGGAACTGCTCGAAGGCCGCCTTAAGCACCGCCGCCGCTTCGGGCTTGGACGGGCGCGCTCGCCTCTTCCGCTTTGCGGGGGCCTCTTGGTCCAACGCGGCCACGCTGTAGAGGTCGACGCAGGCGTTCACGGAAATCTGGCTTTTCCCGGTCAGGAGCACACGACGGATGAGCTCTCTGTCCTTGAAAGCTGCCTTCGTGAAAACCATGGCCCCCCCTTCGCCAAGGCCCTGATTGTCGAATTGCGCCTCGCCCGCCAAGTCCGCGAACGTCAGCGCGCGCTCGCCCGAGCCCGGCGCCTCGCCTCCTGTCGGGGGGGCACCGGCCAGATCGCTCTCCGCGGCGCCCGGACTGGCGGGCTGCGAGACGTCGACATTGCCGCCGCCAGCCCGCGCGGCAGGGCGCGCAACGTCAGCCACCAGGCCGCCAGCGGGAACCGGGCCCTGGGGCGCCGCCGGGCAAGCTGGCACCTGCGTGGAGAGCGGCGCGGCGTACGCATGAGGGTGATAGTGACCCCGAACAGGGCGCGCCAAACGCCCTGGCTCGTTGTCGCCGTCGCTCTCGCCGTCGGCAGCGTCGCCTGCGGGCGCGCAATTCAAGGAGGGAGGGGGTCGACCTGGCCTAACACCTCCTCCTCCAACACCCGAATCCTAAGACCCCCACCCTAACCCCCGTAACCCTGACACCCTGACCCGAACCCTAACACCCTCATCCTGACGCACGAACCCTGGCCCCATAACACCGAACCCCTCAAACCCTAACCCTGGCACAGTAACCCTATCACTAACCGTGCCCCTAACGCGCTGACGCTAGCACCATACCATAACCCCAACACACTAACCCTAACACCTTAACCCTAAGACCCCCCCACCCCCGAAACTGAACCCTGACCCCGCCTAAACCCGAGCGTGCTAGCCCTAACCGTAACGCTCGAAAACTAACATCCTTAGCTTTTCACCATAACCCCACCACCTTCACCCCAGCACCACAATCAAAACACCGTTACCCTAACACCCTGACGCGAACACCCTAACAGTACCCTAATGCGAACCCGAAAAAAGCCCGAGCACCGTATCCATGGCCCCAGTCATACCATTCAAGTTCTAACGCACCCTGGCCAAAACCTTAATGCACCAACCGTGACGCCCTCACCCGAACCCTGACACTCGAACCCTAACTCCTTACCCCTTACACCGTAACCCGAACACCCTTGCTCTCGCCATAGCACCCTGGCCCCAACGCCCGAACCCTACCACACGTTTCCTCACACCCTGACTCTAACCGAACATCCACACCCCCTAAGTCGAACACCCTAACCCTCACACCCTCACCTGAACACAACACCCGAGCCCGAACATCCCAGTCCCAAACCTAGCACCCTGGCCATAACACCTTAGCCCAACCACGAACACCCTAGACCGAACCATAAGCCCGAAACCCAAACACCCTAACCTTTACACCCTCACACCGTCTCACTAACACCCTAACCCTGAATCCAAAGCCCCATGAACCTAACTCAGACACCGTAACGCACTAATCCTGACACCCTAACCCAAACACCCGAAACCCGCTCCTTTCACCCACACCCTCACCCCAACACACTGACCCAAGCCGGGGCCCGCGCACGACCATTCCGCATTCCCCAATCAGAGCTTGCCTCTGTAGGGGTCCTAGCGGATTCATATGGTTCGGTGAGGTGGGGCGCCGATTACGGTGGCAGGGGGCCGGGTGCCTGGGCGTCCCGATGCACGGGTGCGTCGTCGCCGATTTCGGTGGCCAGGCCAGGGTGCCTGGGTGCCCAGGAACCTTATAGCCCCATAGCACAATCGCCATATAGTTCGATCGCCTTCTATTCCTATAGTGCCCTATAGACCTATAGCCCTCTTGCCCTCTTGCCCTCTTGCCCTTTAACCCTATAGCCCTATAGCCCTTTAGCACTATAGCATTATAGTCCTGTAGCCGTATAGTGCCCTTTAGCCCAATGGCCCAAATAGCGCATATAACCTTGTATGTATAGCCCTATAGCATAATAGCCCTATAGCCCAATAGCCCTATAGCACAATAGCCCTATGGCCCCACAGCCCTATAGCACTCTAGCCCAAGAGCCCTATAGACCTCTAGCCCAGCAGCCCAATAGACCATATAGCCCATCGAGCCCCATACCCTCATAGCCCCATAGACCCCAAACAATAGGATTGGGCTTTTCTCCGGTATATATGTTGATGCGGATGGGGCGTCGGCTCTGCCTTTGCAAAGAAGCCAGGTGCACCGTCTTCGTCCAGAGCAGCTCGCCATATGGTCCGGATGGCAATGCTGATGTCGAGCATGCGCCTGGCGCACTGGACGTGCTGGGTGGTGATGAGCGGCAACCCCGAGGCCGCGTCCAAGGTGCCCCCGCCTCCAGAGTAATCCAGCACGGCAACGAGAGCAGCCTGAACGCCCTGCTGGCCCGCGGCGTTGGCCTCCAGCGCAGCCAAAGTAGGATCGTCGTCTCCTCGGGTGGCGAAAAACGTGCAACCCCAGATGCGTGCGCAACCTGGGGTGAAGGTTCCTGGGGAAACCTAGATGTGCAACCCCAGGTGAACCACCTGAAAAATTACACGTGCAACCAAGGGTGAAGGTTCCTTCCTACGTCGAAAAACAACTAACGAAAGATGTGCAACCACGCATGACGGCTGTCGAAAACCGAAATGAGCGCAACCCAGGGTGATGGTCTCGTGGCAAGGAGAAACCCGCACCCCAGGTTGCACTCGCAGCTGGGGTTGAACGTTTTTGGCTCTCTGGTCTCCTCGCAACTGCGCGCGGATGCTCTGTGCCACTTGGTTGCCCGTCATGATATTGCGCGCCTCCTCCTCGAACGGCAAGATCGCCTGCGGCTTCTTGGCGAAAATCTCTGCAACCCTCCTGGCCCCCGCTTGGATGTGGCCCGTGGGGTCCGGCAGATCCCCCCTGTTAGAAATTCGGAACTCGGTCCGCAACTGCGCGTCGCCTACGTCGGACGGGGTAACCCGCAGGTATCGCAACCGGGACTCCTCGCCATCTGGGAACTCCACCTTGTATCCGCCAGCCGGGCCCACGAAACTGCGAGCCTGGGAATTTGCTGCCGACGCCTCGCCCGTCTCGGTGTCCCTCTCCAAATACTGGGCCGCGGCCTCAGGGGCGTCAAGGTACGTCTCCCAGTTGAACGTCTGCGCCTGCTGGGGGGCGAGCGGCAGCCACGCCCACGCGGAGACGCCGCGCGGGAGGCGACTCCCCGCGGGCAGCGCAGCGTGGCGCGCAGCGGCCTGGTCAATGCAGGCGACGAAGCGCTCCTTAGTGCACGCCGTGTGGTTACCCACGATCCCCCTGTCCATGGCTATGAATTTCCCAGGATGTCCGTTGCCGAGCAGAGACACCGAGACGCGTTTGCCGCGAGACTCGCCAAAGGTCGCGCTTGTGCGAGTTGCCCGTCTCGTCTTGCCACTCGCGATCAAAGTGTTCAAGGTGGACGCGTGGACCGTCGGCGCCCGATCCTTCTCTCCTCCTCCTCCACCTCCTCCTCCGCGGCCGGTAGCGAGAAGGCCGAGGCCGTCCCAGAACTCGTACGCCTCGTCTAGATTGAACGCCCTGCCGCCCCACACATCTGATTGCCTGAACTCGGCAACCCGCCCGTCGCCCTCCGAAAAATCAACGAGGGGAAAGCCGCTGGAGCACCGGTAAAAGAATTCCGTGAAAGTGAAGCTTTGGAGACAGATACTCTTCACGGTCACGGGGGGGCCGTCGTCGAGGAGCGAGTCGACGTGCTCGCCAATGACGTCGTCGCACGTGTCGAAGATCTCCTCGCACACACTGAAAAGCTGGCTCTCCCCCGCCTGTGCGTTCCCTATCTGGAACACTGGTGCAATTAATGGAGCGGGCTTCTGGCTCCATATCTTGACGGCGGCGCCATTTGTAAGAGCCGCCATGGAGCCCCCAACCATCAAGGCGCTCGTGCAATACCCTTGGCACGTTGTGTTAACGATGGGCTCCAAGAACTCGCGCACCTTAGGGGGGAGGTGCTCCGCCGGGCTGAACTCACTGGCGACGCGAGCCATCGCCCTCGCAAAGAGTTTCTTCACCTGCTTCTGGGACAGACTCTCCGTGTTCTTCCCTGCCATGGCCGCGCAGTGCGTGACGGCGCGGTCGCGTCGCGAGTATGACCTGCAGGACTCGCTGCGGCAATCCCACGAAGGGGGACCTTTGAGCCGGGGCGCTGCGTGCGAGGCTGGCAGATGGAACCTCGCAGCGGGGCAGCGAAGCTGGGGCCTTTGTCTCGCCTTCGAATCGGCATCTTCGCGCGGGTGCAAAAGCAGCGGCCCGACCTCCTCGCGCCCGCCACGTCAGATCGATGGGCCGTCATGGGCCGTCTGCCACGCCTTTTTTTCACGATCGGCAAAATTCCCAAAACCTGTGGGGGGGCGGATAACCCCGCTGCACGCTCCAAAACCGCGCCCGAGGCCCTGGCCATTGCAGGGCGACGGAAAGCACGACGCGCGCAGCGAAACTCCCACGGCCTCCAGAAATCTCCAAGACAGGGCCGCGAAGCTCTGAGGAAGCCCCAGGAGCTTTCGACTGCATTTTCGCCCCTCGCCCCATCCCTTCCCCCGTCGCACCCCGCGCCCCTCGCCCGACCCATGATCCGAACGTTGGCAGGAAGGAGAGGCCGCGAGAGGCCCCGTGCATCGGAGCTGTCTCGGCTTCTTCTCGGCCGAGGCCGAGGCGGCCTCGCTCGCCCGAGCAACCTTCCTGGCGGCAGTGGCCTGGGCGCCCCTCATGCGCCCCAGCGTCTTCATGTTCAACGCGTCCACCATCTCTTGCACGTAGAACTGGGAGGCCCACCGGCCCACGTGGTGGACCACGTGGCCCAGCGGGGACAACTCGCTGTTCATGATTTCGCAGATGTTTGTGGGGAACTTGCTCAACAAGGCTGTTGGCCTCCAGCCCCGGCAGGCAATGTTCGCTGCACCACTTGCCCACGTGCCCGCTGGAATGGTAATCGTCGACAATGTAAGCCGTCTCGGTTGCCAACCGCGCAGCCACGGCGGTGCCCTCCCCGCTCTTCTCCGCCACGAGGCGCAGGTGGCACGCGTCGTCGTGGACGACAATCTTGAGGTCGGGCATGTGGGCCGCCACTATGGCGAGGAATCGGTGCCGCTGGCTGAGGGGCTCAGCGCACATGAGCTCTTCCACGTGCGCCAGAATGCCAGACGCGGATACGGCCGTCAGGAAGCCCGCTGCGCGGGCGGCTGCAACGATGTGCGCGTCCGTCTCCTTGTGCGTGGAACACTCGGAAGCGGCGCGTGGCCCGTTCGAGCTCCGGGATGCCACGAAGCTCTTTTCTTTGCGCCCTTTCTTGCCAGCCGCGCCCTG